ACCGGAGGTCCTCTGCCGCGACCCAGCAGCTTCCGAGGCTCATCTTCGTGGGGTAATACCCAGGCACTCGGCGGGCGCAGTTTAACCACCGTCCTTGTCTCCACCCGCTGGTTTTGTGACCGTCGCAAGAACCTTCTCCTCTTTCTTTTCGATCCTGGATCTGGTGGCCGTTTCCCCTCCTGGACACGGCCTTCCTGGAATACCTGGCTGACCAGGAGTGTCGGCCGATGCCCCGGACCAGGACGGGGTTTGGCTGCGATGGGGCGTCCCTTCGTGGGCGCTTTAGCCTTGGGGTCACCGTTTTTAACCCCACCACCGCCATCAGCCCACCTAGCTCCAGGTTCCTCCTCAGAACCCTGCCTCCAGCTCTTCTCCCACTTACTCTTGGGAGTCTGTCTCCAGCTGCCCGGGGTTGTGTGTTTCTAGTCCCACCCAATGAGCCGTTCGTGAGCGTCTGCCCCAAGCCGCTAGAAACAGACACTTTTTCAGAAACAGTAACTCTGAGCAGACGCTAGAAACAGCCAACGGAAAGTGGTCTGAAAACGGAACACCGGGAATCAAGAGAAACAGAGCTCCAGGGGAGAGATCTGGAAAGAAACTGCCCCTCAGAGGAGCCGTTCTGCGAACCGGGTCTCCGGGCCGTGAGCACCCACCGTCTCTGGTGGGTCTGGGGGTCGGCAGTACCCAGCTGGCCCTGTGATTCTCACATGCATCAGAGCTCCAGGCGCTAGAAACAGACAACCCGAGGGGACACTAGAAACCACCATTTGGCATGGACGCTGGCCATGCATTGGTCGGGGGAAGACAGCCTTATGCCGGGACCTCTCCGTGGGAGACGAGTAACCACATGCAGGGCGAATGGTGCCCGGCCTGCGTCCACCAGCGCCCCGGCCTCTGGCCCCGGGCCCCGGGCTCACCTGCAGGACGAGGTCTCCCTCCCGCAGCCCGCAGTTCCGGGCGGCCAGGCCCGAGTCTGTGATGTGCTTGATGAATATCTGACTACCCAGCTTCACGCCGAACTCTGTAGAGGAGGGGAAAAAGAGGCAGGGCCTTGGGGACCGAGCCTGAGCGTGGCGTCCTTCCCAACACCCGGTGACATCCCACCGAGAACGCGGCTGTCACACGGGGTCTGAGAGCCCATGGCGGCAGTGACGTTCCCTGGGGGACAGGGTCTCTACGGTGTTAGTGACGTCAGCACAGGCCGAGGCCGGGACGCCGTGAGCGACACACGCTGGCTGCTCTCAGGATGGGACACATTACCAACTGCCGGTGTGGGCAGGTGGCGGGGCCACAGTGCCACACGGCGCGGAGCAAGGTGACCGCCCAGCACACAGGGCACGCATCTGCCGCGACCCAGGGCAGGCAGGGGATCAATCGGGACGTCAAGACCCTATGGAGGTGCTGTCTCTGTCTCTGTCTCTCACGCATGAAGAAATAAATATTAATAACTTTTTAAATTTTTTTGGAGAGGTTTTTGCTATAGGGCACATGCACTCTCCAGAAAGAGAGAGACAGACAGACAGAAAGCGAGAAATCACCCCCCAGGGGGGATGGCCACGCCGCAATCCCTTCTCCTCCATTCTCCTCTCGGGATCTTAGGCACGCACGCACACGTGCCCGGCGTGAGTTCTAAGCCACCGGGTCCGGGACACGAACCGCGGTCGACACGTGGGAGTCCAGCGACATAGCCATTACGCTAACTGCTGGTTCCCAATATTAATAACTTTTTTAAAGAATTATTTTACTTGGGGCCAGCAGGTGGCATGATGATTAAGGGTGTTGTACTCCCACATGGCTGATCGCGGTTCGAGTCCCAGATCTGGCAGCTTGCTTTCTCTCTCCCTCTCTGGTCAAATTTAAATAAATAAATAAAGTTAAATTTTTAAAAAGTAATGATTTTATTTAACTTTATTTATCCATTTACTTATTTATTTTTAATTTGACAGAGAGGGACAGAGAGGAAAAGTGAGAAAGCCACCCACCAGGCCCAGGAGTCAAACTGCAGTCAGCCAGGTGGGAGTCCAGCGCCCTTAACCACCACGCTACCTGCAGCCCAATGCTCATACCATCTAAGAAATCCCAAGGAGAGGTGAGGAGCAGGCGCGCCAGCGCCACCTGCTGCATAGTGACCAGAATTGGAGGTCGCGGTGCTGCCCCGGAGTCAAGCCAGGGTGGGCCCTCAGAGCCCCCGCGGTGCTGACAGGCCCCATAGCCAGACACTGCTGATGTCCCCAGGCTGTTTTGCTGAACCAAAGGCCGTGGACTGTGGTGGCTTTAGGCAACATTTTACAGAGCCTGCAGGTGGTGTGGTGGCTCAGCACTGGACTCCCACATGGCTGACTGTGGTTCCAGTCCCGAACCTGGAGGCTTGCTTTCTCGCTTTCCCTCTCTCTGGTTAGATTAAACAATAATAATGATAAGTAAAATTAAATTAAAAAGTATATTTGAGGGACAGAGATTTTTGCTATAGGGCACATGCACTCTCCAGAAAGAGAGAGACAGAGAGACAGAAAGCGAGAAATCACCCCCCGGGGGGGTGGCCACGCGGCAATCCCTTCTCCTCCATTCTCCTCTCGGGATCTTGGTCACGCACGCACACGCGCCTGGCATTGAGTTTAAGCCACCGGGTCCGGGACTCGAACGGTCGACTACAGAGTCCAGCGATGTAGCCTTTAGGACATCTGCCGGTTCCCACCCTCTTCTCTCTCTTCTCTTTAAAAAACATTAGAACTTTTACTCGTTTGTTTCTTCCATGAGCAGGAGAGACAGAGAGCACCCACAGTCCGGCCGCGCCCTCCGCCC